GGATTCTTTCCATAAATCAATATGCTATGACTTTATTACTTCGGTGATGAGAATTATGAATTTCAGCAAAAAAGACTTTGCATTATACTTTTTATGATAGAAAGTTCTTATTTCACAACGAGTAATTTATCTGTATAATCTATTTCGCTTAATTGCTTCAATTGATGCTTCGATTCCTTCAGAATATAAATTGTATTTTCTGGATTCCAGAGATTCTCATGGGATTCTCGGTATTCCCGGGATTCGAAATCCATGGAATCCACCTTTCCCCCCTTGGTGAGAATTTCACGTTTGTTTGTTGTAGTCTCTTTCGTATTTGTCTCGAAAACTTGTTTCATTCAAAATCGTTTATAAAAACAAGTATAATCGCATTTTGTAAATTTTTCAATCAATCTTTTATAACATTTCTTTCGTGGACAGGTACATACTAGGGCTGCATAATGGTTGGCTTTCCGGCTCCTAATAATCTCCGGTTCTGAAGTTATAAGAGGTGCAATAATATAAGCTACTATTCGTTTTAATTCCTGGCCAACTAAATATCTATAGCGCAGATTAGTATTAATGATTCATGCCGATCGTGCGATATATATTCACAAATTTTCAGTCTCATATGTCTTAAAATGGCTGAGATATCAGACCAACATTTATAGCTAGCGACAATGTCCCAGGACTTTTTGCCGCTGAACAATTTTTATTTTATTTGCTTTTTCCTATTCGAAACGAAGTTTCAAGATTATGTCTTATAGTCTGAAAGTTTAACGGATAATGTTTTCGTTATACGCACCGAAGTTTTATTCAAATGAGATTTTGAACAATGAGACTAAATTCTTCAGTGTCTCAGAATTTTTTGCCCACCTGTATTGTTCAGAACAAGCACACAATGAAAAAAAACACGAGTAGTTTTGTTTATTATTAGCACCAACTTGCTTGTCAATAGGCCGCAATGCATTTCTATTGTCATTCATCATCCTCTTTTCCTTCTGTTATTATTGACTTCATATGAACTCCATTTCTTAGTGTTGCTGTTCCTTGACCTTGTCGTAATATTTTTCCACTCACATTTACAGTGACAGGTTTTTGTTGTGATCGTGATGTTTCTCTTAACAAAAAAGTTTGATGAAAAAGTCCAGGTGTGGTATCTGCAGGAATAATAACTTCAACTTGTAAACTGGTTCGATTTCCAACGTGAAGTTGTGGGAATTCAGTGACCAATAGTTTTAATCCGCGCGCGTATTGATCCCCGAGAATTGTCTCAAGTTTAAATGGAGCTTGCTTAAAAACAACATCCATGGTCATTGAATAACAATGAGAAAGTTTCAAAATACCAAAATATAAATCAAACGAACATTCATTATCACAGCATTGTTCCCATTGTAATTCAGCTTAGAACAAGAAATACAAGTAATAAATTAAGATCAAAAACAAAAATAAAACAAAAGGTGTTACCATTTTTAAATGGATTTTCTTCATTTTTGTCGGATGAATTTTTTGAATCAGCAGTAAATCTAACACCTGCAAAGCGTAAAACAAAATAGTTTTGAATTTTGTTTTGACAGTTTTTTTCTATCATTACCACCAACTTTTCGAACATGAACAGAAGTATTATCTACCATCTGAAACGAGAAGCAATGGAGAAAATATTATCTGATTTAAAGAGAAATATTTCTTTTAAATTCAACAACACAATGAATAGATCTTTGCTGTTTGTCCTTCTTGTAATCTCATACTTATGTTACCTTATTACTTACTACTCTTCAAAAATTTTCAAACCCTAACACAAATGAAAACAACATTTGAGCAAACATTCTTAACTTGAGTGCTATGGAAAGGAATGACTACCTTATGTCTGCTGTACATATACTGAAACATGGAAAAAAAATTCTATGATAGATATTATATTGCTCTGATGCTAAAATTTATCTAGAAAAAACGCTTGATCTAAAATGAAAAAGTGAATGCGCTCATCAAAAAATAATTTCATATGTTAATTAAAGTGATGAATCTACTTGAATAATATCAATGTTATCTGTGTGAAAAACATTGAAATACTAGAGAAATACCATGGTAAAAAATAAGATACGACTGTATATAGTTTGTTTAAAAATTCTTTTAACCATAAAGAACAAATAGACGCAATGTAACTTTTCGTAAATACGTACTAGAATTATACTGGACAGTTGCCAATTCTCATCAATGCATGAAATTCATAAGTGAGAATAAATATCGATACAATAAGATATTAATATCGTATTCTTTTTCTAGTGTAGACAAGGCCTTTGTTACGAAAGTGTAACAGAATCGGAATTGTATTGTATCTTTTTCTATTGCTGTGATTTACACACTAATGATAAAAAGTTGAAATAGAGGGCAGCAGATTACAATGATTGAGAATCAAAACCGAACGATGCCTTATAGGATGTAGATGTTGTGAGCTTTTTCTTCGCGTCATCCGCATGCCATCAAAACTTATTCTATGATAGAGAATTCTTATCTTGCCAGTTGAAAAGATTAACATCATCTTTTTTTATATCCTATTCTAGTGTTGCAAAAGAGAAATACACTAAAAATTCAAATACGGAAAAATGTAGCGAGTTGGACTGAATTTACAATAATAACATTGATAATAATTATAATCCGAGTGTCCCATAATTTTTGCATATATCTCAGCACGAGAAAATGATAGATAATAAATTGGCCATTATATTTTTCAAGTGAATAAAGTCTTGGAAGAAATAAAGTAATAAATTGTCGTGCAGAGTCCAAATCAGTTTCCTCCGAAGATCTCATAACTTCTCTTTCTAAATTATATTCGATTTGAACTTGTTGAAAATTTATACCTTTCTTAACACTATACCACATTGAATAATCTAATGATTTTAATTCTGGTCAGCTTGAGGACCATCGATCGTTTGCTCTCCAAATGATCGATCACCATCAACTTTGTAAAATGGCAGTAATTTTGTAATGTACGTTGCACTATGTAAGCGTTCACCTGTTTCACCAAAGTAAAGAATCATCAGTCCATTCTAACCACAATTGAAAGAGGAAAGTCTACTTTTTTTTAATAAGAAGCATTATTCAAGTCTGCATCCTACCTAGTTTTAGACCATACAATATCAATTTTTCGAATTCTAATCTGTGAGCAGATGATTTTTGGTAACATTTGTTGTTTAATCTTCCTTCAGTATCCATTCAATGGTTGAACGACTACTGTGAAAATCTTTTGCGATTATTCATAAGCTTTTTCTGCTATTCCTTGATCTGAGTCTTTTTTTACCTAATTTTTTCCTTTCTTTCTTTTTGTTGGAAAACACACTATTAAACAATACTAGTGTGTTTCTATATATTCATAGAGGATTATAAATACTAACTAGAATAAAAATCATGATTTTATCATTTATCTTTGCTGAGATATATATAATCATAATGTAGGTAATGGAAACTTTTCATTCAAATTTAATTTCAATTCAAGTTAGCAAAGTTTTCGCCATCTGATTGCTTATCTTAATGCGCTATATACTGACTACCCCATGAAATATTGAAGACAAATGGAACTTCTCCATTATTTGCGAGATAATAGGTGGAAGAAGCAGAATAAAATACTATTTTGTCTTCCTTATTCTATGAAGTTGAATATACGATAACAAGAAAAAAGTCGCGGCCATCATTGTCAAAGCAAAAAAATGTTTCCACATGTCCCATGCAGTTCCATGTGAAAGTCCTTGGTCGTTCAGAACGTCTTCACCTGTCTTTAGACAAACATCGGTTTGATTTGGTAAGCAGAGTTTCAGACCTTGAAATTCATTAATTGTGAGCACATTTGAAGCATATCGAAGTGCACTAACCAAATTGCATCCAAGAGAGCCAACTGAATACACTGGTTAGTTCGATTAAAAATCCACTAAATATCATCATGGCGACAAAGATGAGAACCACAACAATCAAAGCTGCAGCTAAAATATTGAAGAATAAAAGAAGTTTCATTCGTATAAAAAATAAAGGAACAAAGAGTTTTCTTATGACTATTATTTAGAAGATATTATTAGAGGAATGAAAATCTCACCGTATGTTGACGCAAGAGTCGAAATGAAAAAGCAAACAGCAGCTCCAAATACACTAGCCATAAAGATGGTTACTAGAAAAATAAAGAACTGTGCCACAGTTCGCCTTAAACCTATCATAAAGTAGGCAATTAGAGAAAATAAAATTGATGGTACAGCACGTAACGGTAATAAGTCGCACAACAATTTTGCAATGAAAAAAGTTCGAATTCGGTAGTAACCACTTGCATATTCCTGAAAAACAAAGAATATATATAATATATATATAATACATGACAAATTTACGTGAAAAAAAAGCGCCCGCTCTTGAAGTAACGGCTCAATAGCTGTCATCGTACTGAATATCTGATTGACAACAATAAAGAAGATTGTACCTAGACGATTGTGAACACCATGACCGGTAGTTTTTTTTAGATCATAGAAAACAAGACCAACCAAAAACCCAATCATAATAGAGACCACAACTTGTGCTATAGCCATTGCTGGATTACGCAGCGAGTTCCTCAGTGTGCGTTGAGATACGTACAATAGTTCTGTTCCCAGAGATTGAGCTGCTTCAACAGCGATCTGATGCTGGAAACACTCAAAATGTCCTCTATTGGATATGTTGTTCTCAAATTCAGGGCGTGCTTTTAAATGGGAATGATTGGCAGGCTCATTATAGGCATATTTCAACTTTGCTAGTATAGTTGGTGTTTGACTAGCATCAATCAAGATATCTAAGACAAAGTCTGTAGGATTCTCATGTGTTTCACATTGATAACCTATCGTCGAAAAATAAGAAACTACGTTTTCGATTGTACCATGATACACAAATTGACCATTGCACATGAACGTAACTGTATCAAATAGTTTGAAGATTGAATAACGTGGTTGATGGATGGAGAAGATAATTGTACCTATAATTCAACTTTTTTTCTTTTTAAGACCACCTATTCGATCATAAGACTCACGTCCTTTTTCAGCTAATCTTTTGAGACAGTGCACCACATTGTTCGCTGTTGCTGCATCGAGTCCTGCCAATGAGAGAATCTTTTATCATATATAGAATGGTTAAATAAGGTGTCATTGAAATATGTTTTATGATCTTATTCGAACAACCTATTTAATATGACTTACCTATCTACCGGTACACTCATCAACTTTGTACTTTTACGTTCAATTTTGTGGAACTCACATATATTTTCGAAGAAAATGGTAGGTCTAGGTTTAAAAGCGAGATTTTTGCGGCTCACCTCCCTTCCCCATTACTGACATTAATGAGTTAAAAATTGTGCTAATTAGGAACTTGACTAATTAGGCCGCTATTTATTATAGTAACTAGCCTCGGGTACCATTACAGATCATAGAATCTATTCGCTGCCACTGTTAAATATACGAGCTAACGATTAATACTCCATTACAGACATAAGCAAATAGGCAATGACCTAATTATAGGTTTTGGAAATCAAGATAGATCTTTCAGATGAACTATTTTGAATTATTTTAGTAAGTCTAAGAATATATTTGAGTTCCACATTTTAGCTACAAATGGGTTGCGTTAACAAGCTTTTTTAAATGCTCGCCTTACCTGTTGTAGGCTCATCAAGAAACAATATCTTTGGTGATAATACCAACTCCATGCCAATACAAGTTCGTTTCTTCTCACCACCAGACACACCTCGTAGAAATGCTGTACCCATACGTGTATTTGCACAAGATTCAAGGCCAAGATCGGCAATGACGCATAAAACACGATCAATCTTTTCCCGTTTCGATAAGGTTTTGGGTAAGCGAAGATTAGCTGAGAAGAACAGATTTTCACGTACAGTTAATGTCTCACTGAAAACATTTTCTTGTACAACATAGCCAACAGCATATTTGTATGATGGGTGACGGAGTACACCGTCGACTAGCACACAACCAGATGTACCATGTGGATCTTTTCTATCAGCTAAAACATCGAGTAACGAAGATTTTCCACATCCAGTTGGACCTTTCGAATGAAGCTACTTTTTCTAGATAATTTGCAAAATGAGTTAAGAAAAAGTCTCACCCATTATAGCATTCATGCCATCCGAAAATTTTCCCGATATATCAAAAAGGATTTGTTTTTGTTTTTCTGATTTCAAAATAGTTGGACAGCTCCATCTTCGTCTTTTGCATTCATTTTTGCCACCAATAACATAATTAATTTCATGGAAAGAAAGCGTACCTGAAGCATCTACAGGAATCGATACACGACTGATACTGCTAGTAGAATGATTTCCCACAATAGCTGTTCGTGACATGTCATTTTCATCAGTAACACTATTGATGGAGGTACTTGAAAGCAGAGTTATTTTCGCTGTCGTCTGACATTCATCGTTCTCCGAATCAGATTGACTAAGACATATAGTCAAAAGAAAGATTAAACTAATTATCTAGATTTTCATTGATTGATTATGTTAATCTTCTTCGACATGAATATTATCTAACCGAAACTTTATGGTGTGCTTCACTGACAACAACGACACAAAATGATAATAGAATCATATATCTGCTGATAAAGCATTGATAATTCCGTTGTCTCCCTCTTTGGCGACGACGACGACTCTACGCAAATGATCTTTATAATCAATTTCGAACTCAAGTGAAAAACGATAAAAATCAACCAAGTCAAGTCAAGTCAATTGATACTCTTATGTATTTCATACAAAAACCTAGCAAGTAGTAAATTTTTTTTCAAAAATATTTACTCGTCAGTTAGAAATGATAAGATTGTTTGCGTTTTTTCTAACATATTCGAATTCAAACACGAAGTATTACTCCACTCCTATTGTCTCCAATAATCCAATAAATGATGACACTATACGAAGAGAAAGTATGCAGGCATACTTAAGAAAACGTTTCTCGTCAAGAGTAACGGCTAAGTCTACTACAAGAAAATTTTTACAAGCTTTCTTTTAGGTAAATCGTTCAAAGTCATCCAATCCTTCTAAATTCAACATGTTGAGCAGTGTAATCGACTTGGCAAGTAGCTTTCTCTAATTGTAAAATGAGGCGAAATGTTTGGCCCATTGTATACTATCTTATGTATGTAAAGACATTCGCGATAGAAACGGATTTATGATCGTTATGGTATTTATACATAGCCGTCAAATTGAGATTCTCTAGTTTTTAAGTGATCTAGCAAAACATCTACCTTCGTCACAGATGCTTGAAGTTGCTAAATAATGGCAGTTGATGATAATTATAGAATAGAAACATAATTTTAGAGCTTGAGTTTGTGCTTTGAAACAGAGAATGCGTACGAAATTTTTTCTAAGTTGTAGACATAAGATTTGCAAGTGTTATTCTTTTTCTTTTATCGCACCACGTTTTTCTGCATATCTATACAGATGTTATCAATGAACCACCTTATCTTGTAATAATTGAATTCGAGCCATCTAATAGTATCTCTACTGCGTGACACAAAAGACTCTTAGTGCAAAAATACTCCAAATTTGAAATAAAAACATGTCGAACCGATCAACGCATACCAGAAGAATCTTTGCTGGATAATGAGTATATTCGCATAGGTCATAGCATTCGACTGAAACCAATGAAAAATCAATTCATGAGACCACAATGTTTTAATGACCCTCTATCAACACAGATTGCTCGTTTTATTGCTCTCTAAATAATTGCAAATTATTTTCTTTTCAGACACCTGCATCATTGTGAATCCTGCATTTAATATGCAAGATTCTATGGGTCATCTTTACAGGAACCAATGAAAGATGAGCATACACTGTAGCTCTTACTTAAGATACAATAGGATAATCTTATAAGCTCAAGTCAGTATAATGGAAACGGTCAAAAAAACAACATATATACATCGTGAGGAGCTCAAAGATATTCCTATCGAATAACACAATGGAAGTTCCGTGAAGTAAATTTTAAAATGCGCATTCTACTCTAACGAGCATTTCAAACGGATGCCACTATAATAAAACCGCAGAAAAAGATTTGATCAAACACAAAGCATTGCTAACAGTGCTCGTGGTTGGGTCAGATTTATATTTGTGAATTAATGAATTTGGAAAGAAACATCTTTGAATAAAATGTCATCATATATGAAGAAAGAAAAAAATCAATCTTGATTTTCTTCATCACTGCATTGTTGACATATTCTAACTGTAAAGTATCAACCATTTTATGTATGCGCTTGAAAGAGGAAAAAAATTGATGATAACAATAGTGAAAATACATTATTCTGCTTTTCATGGTCGATGCACTGCTTTTTTGCTGATGTCCTTTTAGTCGTAATTGCAACACTCTAAATAAAAATGTGCTGAGAGTAATATTATCGCAGGTTCAGTCTCGAAAATGTGTTTCAAATAGATTTGTCTCGTTCTGTATGCCGACTATCGATTCACCCATTTCATTGGCGTAAAAGGCCTTATATAGAGAACTCAATTGAACATGCGAAAGTTATATATTTTCATTTAAACATTTTTTAGATTATTTCTCGATTATTAATTAAGTAGTCAACATAATGCCTATCTTGGTCATTGGTCGAGGTGGGGCTACTAGAAAATGGTCTGGTAAAAATCGGGTCGACTCGAGACCGGACAGATCTCAAGATATGACCTGTTTAAGTTTTCAGAAATGAAACTGTACAATAGGCCAAAATCGAAGAAATCATCATCATCCTTGTGATAAAAATATAAAAGTGTACTGGCTAGTGGGTTCAAAAAAAGTTTTCAGAATGTGTCGCATGTGTCGTACATTGTGTCGCGAATCACGACGCATGCGACACATTTAAACTTAGTGTGAGTTTCAGTAGAAATTCAATAGAATCATAATGCAATCATTGTGTTGGGCTATCTTTTTGCTTTTTGCTTTTTATGCTATTGTTTTCATTAAAAAAGTCCTCCATAGCCTTGATGGTTCGTAAATTTCGAAATGAAGAGCAGTTTGAGAAAATTTAAATGAAATTTTTTATTTCTTATGAGCTAGCTGCAAATAGCATTGAAAATATTAATAATTTAACAACAATAACTTCCGCACATGCTTCATCTGGTACTCTTTTCACACCGATATACATATGATGCGAGAGTTTGGTATTGAGTTAGTGAAATTTGAAATGACTTTTTCTCAGTTTTGATTTTCATTATAATATTTTACTACGCGTAAAGATTCGTTTGTTCTCAGATGCATTATAAATTACATAAAATAATGTGTTCCGTTTGAAATATTAAATTTTTTTTTCTCAAATTCAAATGAAACTAGAAAAATGCTTCTGTCTATGTTTCTGATATCATTAAGTATAGGTTTGACGGTAAGAATCGTTTGCCAGTAATTCTCCAATTTGAACGACTACAGCTGTATATGTTCACCCTAAAGATAGTTCTTTTCGTACAAATATGATTCGTTTAGTTGTATACAATTAAATCTCATTTTCAATTTGACCTTGAATGTTTTACTGTTGTTATGCGCAATCTTTCCGAATAGTGCTTGATTGAAAACAATGCAAGAATAAAAAAAACGAAAGAAAGAAAGAAAGCAAACAAACAAGACAGAAAAGTAGCGAAACTGTTACTATGATGTAAAAGTAAAAATTAAGTCATTCAAGAAAACGCACACTCATATGACGTGCACAATACTCAACGAAGTAGGAACTATCACCAGTGAAGTTTAACTGGTATAGTTGTTTTTGCTTGATATTACTTCAGGATGTGTTTTTGAGTGCTAATATTCTTTTCTTCAGTATCAACGAAAACAGACACCTGGTGCTCAAAGAGTTGATGATCGCTGTCTGACTTTTACTTTGAAAGCAGGGAGTTTTTGCATATATCATGCAGACATTGCCTATTCTGATGAGAGGAAATGTAAACGTCATGTACACAAATGTCAAGGTTGCTTACTTCGCTATCATCTATCGTAATTATTTATGCAGAAACATTTAAACACTATCGAATATTGATATTTTTCAATAATTTTTCCAACATTTTGAGATAAGTCATACGCCACTGCTGAGTTAAATTTTACTAAACTCTCAGCATAGAAATACCTATATTCAAAGTAATTCAATTGTGATAGCCTATCAGATTGTTTGAGTTAATAAAAATTCAAGATATAAGAGAAGAAAATATGCTGTATATATGGTACTTTATGGCACAATATACCACAAATTATAAAAAGTGGTTCGACTTTAGGTTTCAGTGTTTTTAACATTTTTTTCCAGTTGAAAAAGAATAATGACCATATTTTGCAGATCATTCTTTGTCGTTTATGTATATCGTACTAAAAACTTTCGATGGTCAAATGTTTCTATATAGTCGTCTTGATCTAATATGATTTCGAATTAATTGCTTCATTGACGTGACAATATTAAATTGTGTGGGTTAGAAAAAAACTGTAAATGATTTATTCCAATGTTATACAAAAGGATCGACTCGTAACTACCAGTGTGTTTTTCTTACTAATAAAGAGTGAGTAAAGGTATCAAAAAATAGAGCGTCTTAGATTGACATTAATACTAGGCAGCCCTCTAAAATTTTATACGATCACTTCAAAGTTAATTTGTATTGAACGTGAAATATGCTAGAGCACAAGTAAGCAAAACACTGAGGAAGACTGAACATGACTAGTCAGAAATGCTCGCAGCATCCATCATGTCTAGGCTGAAATGTGTTGCATACTAGTCTTGTCTAGTCAGCTTCAGGAGGAATGTCTTACAAACATGTCCATACTGTTTTGAAATGTCATTGAGCCCAGTCATGTCTAGTCCGCTTAGTCTGTTGACCTAGTTCAGACTAATGAGAAGATCCAAAAAAAGATGCTCGCAGTGCATTTGAACATCCAGTCCGACAGCGTGTACGTGTCGGTGTGGGTGGTGCTGTGTTGTTATTCTCATCTCTTACACCCACACCCACACCCA